AGCTATGCCACACTGATGATGCCTAACAAGGCTGAAATGATCATCTGGGGTTGCTGTATCTCTTGTGCAGAGAGAACTTGCTGGCATTTTGAATCTAGACTGCCCGTATGGGTGGGACCAGTCTGATATGCTTCAGATATGTTCTCTCTGTAATGGCACAAGATGAGCTAAAACCAGCTTGAGTTCTGAGCAGGGACCCACCTAAGGGCAGGCTATTTCAGCTGCTGTCCGTTTTCAGAATACTCTTGCGACCCGTTTTTGCTCTCCATAAGTTTAAAGGATAATCCAGACGTGGACCCCTTGCTCACGGTGCCTAGAGAGAGATCAGCTATGCCACACTAATGATGCCTAACAAGGCTGAAACGATCGTCTGGGGTTGCTGTATCTCTCGTGCAGAGAGAACTTTCTGGCATTTCGGATCTGGACTGACGGTATCGGTGGGACCAGTCTGATATGCTTTAGATATGTCCTCTCTGTAATGGCACAAGATGAGCTAAAACCAGCTTGAGTTCTGAGCGGGGACCCACCTAAGGGCAGGCTATTTCAGCTGCTGTCCGTTCTCAGAATACTCTTGCTACCCATTTTTTGCTATCCTGTCTGTCTGTTGCTTCTGTGGCATGAATGTTTTCATTGTGCCATAATACAATTTTCTTTGCATTCTTGGAATTAGACTAAAAAATCTATTAGTAATATAATAGCAACTGTTGCTTTCATCGCTTTGTCTTATCACTTTTCACTTGACAACACCTTGCATTAATCTTTTTGCAAGAAATATAAACAAGTTACGCAATCATGTTGAAGTGTGAGACAAAGCAAGACAATAAAATATATAGTAGACATGCGAATTTCAGGAATTCAAATCACTACCACGGGGTAGTAATGCATTAGGTTAACCCTACTCTAGTGGTACGAAGGTAATCTGACATGGTGGCTATAAGGTAAGGTACGCTGCTTCACAGCAAACAAGGGTGACAAGTGGAGAGAATCGCTAAGACATGGCCCTCTGGTACCTTACTGCATTTCACGGATAGAAGATATGGAAAACAAGATGACAATAAAAACATAATCTCACTGTGCATATTTAGCGAGAAAGTCTTGCAAATGTGAAACTGTCAACGGGCATCAGGAATGTGGCATCAGAGAGCCAGTGATATGCTATGTGTGGTAAGTGCAGAGTCAGCCAACACCTAGGCTCGGGAACACGTTAAGGCAGCCGAGAGGCACTACAAGACAGGAATGAGGCATGGAATCCTCCCAGCCCTAGGTCATGGTGAGGGCCTTCATCATAGTACCTCGTACTTGGGGACTTGAGTAAAGTCTAAGTTATTTTCTTTTGGGACATAACAGAGGCTCAGTCGCCGCCTGCAGCGTAGAGTCATCTAAAGCTGTGGTTGATGCTTAGGGAGTATCTTCCTCTCGGCTGACTGGGTAGGCTAAAGTTGGGTTAGACGTGTATTCTTGTGGGAGTTGTGACTATAGAGGGCTCATGCACCCCTCATCCATCTTCTCCCCACTCTACAGCTTGGCTCTGAACTGGTGCAGCTATGACACAAGCCCCAATTCTGCACTGAAGCAAACAAAGATATTGTCGAGCCATGCTAGCGTTTGCTCGAGTGTAACATTCAGGGCTGACACAGACCATGTAGGCTGATGCTTTGGAGATTTGTGTATGTCCGCCATCTTGAAGAAGCGTGCTTTGATCTGGACCTGTGCAGTAGTGTCTGTCTGCAATCAGTAAAGGTTAGTGGAGCTTAGGTTGCCATGATATCCCTCACCAGCAAGGGTGGGGGGGTATTCCACCAAGGTGTCCTTTAGCCGCCTCCATCACTCCAGTGTCACCAGGTAGCTCGTAGCTAGGCGGAAGGATTGCCACAGTTGGATGCTGACCAGTGGTGCCAGTAACTCATATTGATAGCCCAGGATTGCAGTAGATCTTTTTTGACGTGCATTTTTCTGGATTTTTTTGGGGGGGGGTTATTCTGTCTCTCACTGTTAAAATACACCTACCATTAAAATTATACACTGATCATTTCTTTGTCAGTGGATAAACGTTCAAAATCAACAGGGGATCAATTTCTTTTTCCTCACTGTAGTGTAGGTATTCAAACACATTGCTATGAAACTCTTGAATAAGCTCTGGTGCAACCAACTTTTTTATGAGAAGTGAAAAATTGATGACAGTTGTCTTTAAAATCATTACTTCTTGGGGGGCAGTGCTTAGCAAGCGAACAGCACAGATGCCATTTCTGGAGCTCCACTATTCCCGCACAGAAAACCGGGAAATACTCTGCAATCTGCCGGGCAACGGCGTACCTGCAGACAGAAATCGGCTACAGGAGTCGGAGAGGCACACACTGATGCCTTTTTTTCAACAAACGGGCGCCAAACTGAAATGCCAGCCTCCCAAGACCTTCCACGCAGCCAGTCAGAGGATCACACCGCACACCCCCACGGCCTGTTGGGACCCGGACTGGATCACACACGATCCCCAGCAGGCACAGACACGAGCCAGTGGAGATGGGCAAAAAATCCCACAAATCTCAGGCACCCACGCCCCAAGACACGCAAGACATCCGCATGCTGCATCAATGCACGCCAAAGCACAGGGAGCTGGAGCAAGCCGAGACTGAGGCCTATGCCCACCAGGAGAGGGAAGGGGTGAGTGACAATGTGAAGGGGCCACCCTCAGCGGGGTCCCAAACCACACATACCCCAACCACTAGACAGGACATTGATAATCTTTTTAATAGAATCCAAAAGCTCTTTTCAGCTGACATAGCCGCGATGCACATTGAAGTACAGGCGGTCACCGCCCGCGTCCAGGCATCTGACTCAACCATAGCCGACCTGCAAAGCCAACTTGCGGTAGTAGGAGATTCAGTCAAACAATTACAGGTACACCACTCAGATATATCATTGAGACTAGATAAACCAGCCTTACTAAGAGCAGTTCAAGACAAGTCACCTATGGACTTTGAGACCCACAAAATCTCACTTTTTCAGGATGTAAGTATAAAAAAGCGGTGTGCGGGATAAAGTGCATAGATAGTGCAGGCTGGCCACTCCAAACAAGGAATCACTCCCAATTCCCAAAGATACACAAATATACAGGAGGTATAGTACAAAACATATACCAGAAGGGGGCGCCACAATCACAAATCGTGTGTATATTTACCATATGTTGTCCATATGTGTCATAAAAAGAGATAAAAACTAAACATATATAGTGAAGTATTTAATAACACAGAAAAAGAGTAAAACAAATCTGTACACTTACAAATGAAGTGGCACAAAATGACATATATCAGTTTGTGCTCGAATGCTCATCAGCCCTTCCTGGGCTTAGTCCCCTTTAAAACGAAACCAACTCCAGTGCCTTAGGATGATCTGTACTCTTCTCCCAAGATGCTGTGGGAAGGTTAATGTAGGCAAAAGGAAGTGGTGGAATCACGAATTTCAACATACATCCAACATACCGATGGACTACTCCTATATCCCTCACAGTCATTAAAGAAGGCAGAAAGATAAAGGCTACCGATGTGGCAGAGGCCAACACCTTCCTGGCAGTAATTGGCATAGGAGACGCCCCGCAGGAGTGGAGGGCTCAAGATACCACTGGGATGTGGACAATATCACCCCTTTCACTCCACGGAATGGACAAAGAGCTGTGACTTAGGGAAACATACCACCTTAGCTTAAGTTAGAATATTGTAGCGCTAACCTAACCTTTACGTTATCACCTTTTAATTATACTTTAACTGCATTAACCTGATTGAAACTCCCGAAAAGTCTGTGCGTATAAATAGTCCACACCCTAGCGACAACACCAACAGTGCCTACTGACAACAAACTATCCATCACCCCTCCCTACCCCCTGACGCCCCCTCCAGTTAGGGACCACGCAAAACCTTTACACACCAGAACACACCCAAGCGCCATAAATCAGTATACTGTTATTGATCCTTACAATGACATTGTGGGTATAGGTTTCCTACCTACATGCTTTTATTATGTTTCTTAAGTTTATACTTAGTCTATAGCGAGATTAGATCATGAGGGAAACACAGGCCCTGGTGTGGCCAGACAGGCTCCTAATACCCAACTATGAACCCCTCTCGAGGGCCCCGTGCACCAGATGACATATTGACATAGGAGCTTGTTGTGAGAGGCATGATTCTTAGTTTATATGTTCTAGCCAACTTTAACAAAACTGCAATGTACATCAATTGATTATAACGTGTACCAAGCATGTAACTTTTTCCCATACTGTTTTATTATGCACCACCTGCAAAAATAAAAATGTAAAAAAATAAAAATCTTTACTTCTCAAATGTGAATCCTACTTATATAATATGGGCTTTAGATATTTATGAAACACTCTATTGAGTATTTCCATAATTTAGTTCTGGATTTTAGTTCAGTTTCTTCTGGAAAGGCTAAAATACAATCAACATATTGTCTAATTCAGGGGCCATATTGCAAATCTAGACACTGAAAAATGTGAAGAACAATGATTGGATTTTGCTGTCCAAATGCTAACTGATGGTACTGAATGCTTTTTTTTTTTTCAATTTGAAATTTGGTTTTATTAGTGAATCACAGTGTTTATTTTGCGGCGCCTGCTCGCCAGGGTACAGAAAAGGAAGAGTGGGAGTTCTGCAAGACATTTCGTTACATCATTGGGGTTAAATACAATTCCAGTGTTACACTTTATCTCCAATACACAACACTTTCCATTTTTTCTAGTACGCAATTCTGGTTTTTCTATAGATTGTCTTTGGAATTCTCCAATTCCCTTCCTGTCGGTATTTGTGTTTTCATTGTGGTTGTGAATTTTGTACTTGTTGTGCGATCCCCTCTATTCGTTACCCCGTCCCCCCTCTCCACCTTCCCTCCTAGCCCCTGGTCTCCTACCCTCCCCAGTGTTGACCTGGTTGTGCGCTAAGGTATGATCTCCATATCTCCCCCGCTTGACTTGTGTGTTTCCTCTACCCTATGTGTTTATCTGCTCTTTGCTCATATTTCCAGTTGAGAGATGTTTGGGTTATTAGGGCTTCTCTGGTGGGTGTCTGTGTTGACTTCCATGCTCTTGCTATAATGGTCACTGCTGATATTAAAAGGTGGAATATCAATCTCTCTTCAGTTTTCCCTAGTGTTGTTGGTATCATGAATAGTATGCCTTGTTCTATGTTTATGGGCCAAGTTCTACCCAGCATCTCTGTCGCCACCCTCTCCACCTCTTTCCAGAACGGTTTGATGTTTTTGCATGACCACCATATGTGGCTCATCGAGCCTTCCCTCCCTTTGCATCTCCAGCATTCAATCGGTATACCTTTGTGTCTCCGGTACCATGTACCATCTGTACTGTAGCTTTCAGATAGTCTCTAGATGGGATGTGCAGAGTGTATTCCCCTTGTGTATTGTGAATGCCCGTTGCCATGTTTCCACTTCGATAGCATGACCCAGTTCGGTGTGCCATGCTGTTTGGAAAGACATGGATGTCCCTGTGTCTAATGTTAGTAGGGAGGAGTACAGTGTGGACAATGTTTTTTTGGGAGGTCTGCCTACCAGGCACAGTTTTTCAATGCTGTTCGTGTGTGTTGTCTCCTGGCTTTGTAGTGTCATTCCTGTGAGGAGCGACTTCATTTGTAGGTATGTGTACAATGCTTTATTGGGTATATTGTATAGGGATTGGAGTTCTGGGAAGGGCAACAGTTTGTTGTCCTTGTGTAGATGGTTTTGTGGCCAGGGAGGGGATGCCCACTGAGAGGCATGTAATTGGTGCGTCCGGCCTTATTTCCCCTGGTTCTTCTCTCCCCCCCCTTTCTTTGTCCCAGTGTTTAAGTGTCAGGATAGTGGTTGGTAGAGGATGTATATGTTGTGAGCGCATAGATTTCGGGAGCCAAAAGAGGTCCCTCAAGTTTCGTTTGTTTACCCAGTGTGCCTCTATTTGGGTCCATTGTGGTGTTTCCCCCTGTGCTGTTGCTGCTTTGACTGCCGCTAGCTGTGCTGCTTTGTAATAGTCTTTTATGCTTGGCAGGCTCAGTTCCCCCCTTGTGGTGGGTTGTTGCAATATGCTACAGTAAAAAGATAGAAGGTAAAAGCGCACACATAAAAACAGAACATTGTTACCTGTAATATATACAATCGTGGTAACCAAAAGTAAATGTTCCTGGTATGAACTTGAACAAGGTGTATAAACTGATACGTATTACCTATAAACATATAATAAAACAGCAAAACATTTTATTATATTCTGTATAAGATATAATAAAAGTGAATGTAGAAGAGCTGAAACCACTCACAATTTTTTGAGCCGATTAAAAGTTGGCTCAGAACTTATGCAGCATGTATGTCTCATTCATGGACATAGATGAAACTTTTCTTTCGGATAGAAAACACATATTCTAAACTCCCTACTGGGATTGTCTCTAAAACAAGTTGTTGAGGAGCCAACTCGTAAAGAGGCCATACTAGATTTAGTGTTAACAAATGGAGATTTGGTATCAGATGTTACTGTAGGTGAAAGTTTAGGATCCAGTGATCATCAATCAGTGTGGTTTAATATAAGAACAGTGACTGAGTCACACCACACAAAAACAAAAGTTTTAGACTTTAGAAAAGCAGACTTTTCTAAAATTAGAATATGGGTAGAGGAGTCATTATCAGACTGGAGCAATTTAAATGGAGTTCAAGAGAAATGGGATTATTTAAAAGTTGCACTATTGAAGGCAACAGAAAATTGCATTAGGCTTGTCAGTAAAAGCAAAAAATTCAAGAAACCACTGTGGTACTCCGCAGATGTGGCCAAAATAGTTAACAAAAAGTTAGCATTTAGGAATTATAAAAAAACCCAGAGTGAGGAAGACAAAATGATCTATAAGATTAGGCAGAAAGAGGCTAAGCAAGTTATAAGAGCTTCCAAATCACACACAGAAGAGAAAATAGCACAGTCAGTAAAAAAGGGGGATAAAACATTTTTTAGATACATAAATGAGAAAAGAAAAGTAAAACAAGGATTAGCTAGATTAAAAACAAAAGAAGGAAGGTATGTAGAAGAAGATAAAGGTCAGGCTGACTGCCTCAATGAATATTTTTGTTCTTTATTTACATAAGAAAATGAAGGAAAGGGACCTCAGTTGAGAAAAAGGATAAATGAGTCTTTTATTACACGTGAGTTTACAGAGGAAGAGGTTCTATTTCAACTGTCAAAAGTAAAGACAAATAAGTCAATGGGACCTGATGGAATACACCCAAAGCTATTAAAAGAGCTTAGTGGTGTACTAACAAAACCATTAACAGATTTATTTAACCAATCATTGTTAACAGGAGTAGTCCCAGAAGATTGGAAGTTAGCGAATGTTGTGCCCATTTACAAGAAAGGTAATAGGGAGGAGTCGGGCAACTATAGGCCAGTAAGCCTTACTTCAGTAGTGGGGAAAGTGATGGAAACCATGTTAAAAGGATAGGATTGATGAACATCTAAAAACACATGGATTTCAAGATCAGAGACAACATGGGTTTACTTCAGGGAGATCATGCCAAACTAATCTTATTGATTTTTTTGATTAGGTAACTAAAATTATAGATCAGGGTGGTGCAGTAGACATTGCTTACCTAGATTTCAGTAAGGCTTTTGACACTGTTACACATAGAAGGCTTATCAATAAACTGCAATCTTTAAGTTTGGATTCCAATATTGTTGAATGGGTAAGGCAGTGGCTGAGTGACAGGCAACAGAGGGTTGTAGTTAATGGAATATATTCAAGCTTGGACTTGTCACCAGTGGGGTACCTCAGGGATCTGTACTTGGACCCATTCTCTTTAATATTTTTAGTAGTGATATTGCAGAAGGTCTTGATGGTAAGGTATGTCTTTTTGCTGATGATACTAAGATATGTAACAGGGTTGATGTTCCAGGAGCCAAATGACAAATGATTTAGGTAAACTAGAAAAATGGTCAGAATTGTGGCAACTGACATTTAATGTGGATAAGTGCAAAATAATGCATCTTGGGCGTAAAAACCCAAGGGCAGAGTACAGAATATTTGATAGAGTCCTAACCTCAACATATGAGGAAAGGGATTTAGGGGTGATTATTTCTGATGACTTAAAGGTAGGCAGACAATGTAATAGAGCAGCAGGAAATGCTAGCAGAATGCTTGGTTGTATAGGGAGAGGTATTAGCAGTAGAAAGAGGGAAGTGCTCATGCCATTGTACAGAACACTGGTGAGACCTCACTTGGAGTATTGTACACAGTACTGGAGACCGTATCTTCAGAAGGATATTGATACCGTAGAGAGGGTTCAGAGAAGGGCTACTAAACTGGTTCATGGATTGCGGGATAAAACTTACCAGGAAAGGTTAAAGGATCTTAACATGTATAGCTTGGAGGAAAGACGAGACAGGGGGGATATGATAGAAACATTTAAATATATAAAGGGAATCAACACAGTAAAGGAGGAGACTATATTTAAAAGAAGAAAAACTACCACAACAAGAGGACATAGTCTTAAATTAGAGGGACAAAGGTTTAAAAATAATATCAGGAAGTATTACTTTACTGAGAGGGTAGTGGATGCATGGAATAGCCTTCCAGCTGAAGTGGTAGAGGTTAACACAGTAAAGGAGTTTAAGCATGCGTGGGATAGGCATAAGGCTATCCTAACTATAAGATAAGACTAGGGACTAATGAAAGTATTTAGAAAATTGGGCAGACTAGATGGGCCGAATGGTTCTTATCTGACGTCACATTCTATGTTTCTATGTTTCTATGACTTTCAGGAACCAGGGGTTTGGAGTAGAAAAAAAGAGATTCTTCCCTTGGATAAAATGCTCAGTCTCATATAGTGAGATATAGAGTCAGGAACCAAAAGAAATATAAAAATTTATTTATTTCTTAATATAAATGAAATAAAAGCAATATGCTGGATGCCACCCTCGGTTTTTTGTTGGCCCATATGAATCTGGTAATTAATCTTTGTATTGTGGCTAGGTGTCTGTTTGACAGTGGTATGGGTAGGGTGCGCAGGAGATATTGGAATTTCGGGAGTAGCATCATTTTCACTGCTGCTATCCTCCCCACCCATGACAGGTATTTCCCTTCCCATGATCTTAGCGTGTCGGCCATGTTTTTTGTGAGTGTAGTGTAGTTTTTTTTTCCAATAGGTTGTTTAAGTTGGGTGGGATTTTTATACCGAAGTATGTTAAGTGATCAGTCCTCCAGTCAAGGGGGAACGCTGCTTTGAGTCTCTCTAGCTTGTTTGGTCGGCTCCCCATTCCCATAGCTTGTGTCTTAGTGACATTTAGTTTGTAATATGATTGTTTCCCATATTCAGCAATGGTTGCCATTAGGTTTGGTAGTGAGATGTGTAGCTGCGTTAGGGTCAATAGTACGTCGTCTGTGAACAGGTTCGCTTTATATTCTCTGTCTCCTATTGTCACTCCATGTATTGATGTGTTTTGTCTTATGGCTTCTGCCAGTGGTTCAAGGGCCATCACATAGAGTAATGGTGAAAGGGGGCACCCCTGTCTTGATCCGTTTGTGATCTTAAGTGGGTCTGAGACGAATCCTGCATTTAGGACTCTTGCTGTGGGTGAGTTATATAGTGCCCTGACCACCAAGAGGAAGCCCTGTGGCACCTCAAATCTAAGGAAGACCTTTTCCAGGAATTCCCAGCTCAGGCGGTCAAAGGCCTTTTCTGCATACAGTGATATTAGCAGGCTTTCCACTTTCATTGTTCTGTTCTGTTTCTACTATTTTTGTGAATTGCGGGTCTGTGAGCAAGGAGTCATTCAGTCTCCACGGGCTCCTATGTGTGGATTCATATAGGTCAGCTAGAGTTGTCACTACTGGGGCGTGGTCTGACCAGGTAATCTGTTCTATGGTGCATGCTTTAACCTGGTGCACATGTTGGCCAGTTATTAGTATTCCATCTATCCTAGAGTATGAGTTATGCGCTGTGGAGAAGAAAGTATATCCTCTCTCTCCCACATGCGTTGCCCTCCACACATCGTAGTAATGGTGTTCATGAAGTAGTTTGTTTATCACTTTGGACTGTCTCTTTAGTGGCCTCATCCTAGCTGCGGTGTGCACTGTTGAGGTGTCTATCGTAGGGTCTAGTACGTGGTTGAAATCTCCACATATGATTCTTATTCCCCTTTTTACGGGTTCTATTTTCTTGAGTACTTGGTGTAAGAAGTTCCTTTGTTCTGTATTGGGGGCGTATACATTTGTTATAGTGTATTCTAGGTCGTTAAAGGTCTCCCTTACTATGACATATCTCCCTTCCTTGTCTATTTCCAGATGTGAGAGACTGAACGCTATGTCTTTGCTAATGAGTATGGAAGCGCCTTTGGATTTGCTTGTCTTGGTGGCGTGATATTGGTGCGGGTAGTCCCGTGGCAGCTGGGGCGAGTGTGCATTGGTCTTAAAGTGGGTTTCCTGAAGGCAAATTACATCTGTTTTGTGTTTGATCAGGTCTCTACGAAGTAGGCTCCGTTTTGATGGGTGGTTAAGCCCCTTTGTGTTGTGTCTGCATATTTTCAT